AAGTGATTCGAGTGAGCCAGAGATGTAGATGAGATGAGAAGCAGTACCTTGACATTCAAACCCCCGCGTCCATACCACAAGTTATAGTTCACCTGTCCAAACCAAAGCCGCCACCCCTCAAACCAATCATTCCACGTCGGCGGCGCGTCGGCAGGCTGTGGAGGAAGCCACATTGCTACGCCGAGGACCTCATCACTGCCTTGTTCTTTTGCGACGTGGAATATGCCGTTGCGCATGCCCCATCTCATACGCAGAGCTAGGGACTCGTAGTTTCGTTGCTGGTTGAACTATGATCCGGTGAGCATCCTGGGAGATATAGCTTGGCGGAGTTGGGATGAGGGTGTACCTTTGATTGATCGTATACCCAGACATTGTACGGGTCACCGCTGAATGCTTGTCTGTGAGGCGTAGATCATTAGTATCTAATTTGAACTCGGCGTGGGTATCGTGCCAATGTCTGTAATACTCACTGCACTGCTTTAACTGCCCCTGGAATATCCGCCTCTGTGAGATCCGTAACTTCAATCGTCATCTTAGACGTAGGGTGAACTATCGATGGTGTGTTGAATGGCAATGAGGTACACCTGATCAATGCAACTTAGGGATCTAGAACGAAGAAAATTTAGCGTAAGTGTCGCGTGAAATCAAAAGCAATAATCTCAGCCAGATTGAATATTCAATGTGAGATTCAATTGACATAAAGACCAGATCAATTCTCTTGCCGGCTGATAACTACAAAGCAAGCCCCCAATCTCCAGGTCGCGTGTGGTCTGCGGGGTACAGATAGTGTTAGTTCAGAAAGATTATCAAAGGGAGATAAGATCGCATAGACTTTCCGCGAAAGGCAAGGCGGGAAACTCGGCGCAAGCTCAAGCATGCCAAACCTCACTCACCCCGCGTGCCGGCGCCAACTCGGCTCCTCCGCAGATGAGAATTCGAGACCGGGACTGAGAAAGAGAGAAAGTTCTCTTTGCCAAGGACTCCTAAACTCCAACCACATTCCACACTTATTTCACCTGGCTACGGTAGACAGACCAACAACGGGACCCTTGGACTTCCTCTCACTTCCCCGCAGAGCTATCCGTGGATCATCCGCCCATCGGGAACCTGTGCGACAATCCGAACATGTCTGAACCTACATATAACCTTTCACTTCCCTCCTACCGGAATGACCTCGGATGAGTGGCGAGAGGACAAACACTTGGCCACTGCATTTTTCTTCTCACTTCTTTCTCTATTTCTCCAATGTCGCATGTTTCAATTTTCAGCCAGACAAGGGACGCGTCAGTGACGCAGGCGCAGCCGGCGCTGAGGCCAGCTTCGTCCGACTCAAGTGAGCGACACCAAGTTGGTGAAAATCAAAATCAATTGCTGTTGCTGTTGAGGGAAAATGAGTTTGAAGATGTGATATGCCATTGGTATTCGCTTAATTATGATTATTTTAGATATGCAATGCTCATTCGCCATGAGGAATGTGTCAAAAGCCCACCAGAAACCTGTGGTGGCCGGGGAAAGTCGTTGAAGGCTCGCTCGCTCTTTGGGGCAGCCTTCCGATGCTTTCCGGGAAATGAAGAAAATCTCATCTCAACATCAACGTGTTGCCATGCTTCCTTCTATGCATCCTTTTCTTCAAAATAAGGGGCTTCGGTCCTTTGAAACATGACCGATATTCAACCCCCAAACCCATAAATCCAAACGTTCTCTTTTAACTATTTTCCCCTCACAGATCCTTCTTCTGCTCCTGGGGAATGGGGTTTCCCTTTTCGTCGACAAGACCCTTGGCGCGCATGACCTTGAGGGCGTCGTGGAGGGGATCGAGCTCGGGCTGGGGCGCGCGATGGGAGTCAAAGTAGTTGTCGGCCCAGGTGAAGTACTGGCCGTAGTTGACGGTAAAGTACATGTGGTGGAGGGTGTGGTGGGCGGGACTGTTGATGTACTTTTCGAGCCAGTGACCCGAAATCATGTCGCCGTCGTGAATGAGGATGGTCCAGATTTGAACGAGGACGAAAAGGCCCATGTAGAGGTACTTCTGGATAGGGCAGAAGAAGACGAAGACACTGGAGAATGTTAGTTTTGTTGTTGCACGTGGCTGGCCACCGAATTGAGGCTAAAGTAGCTCCCACTTGGTGATGGTGATTCTTGGGGGTTGACTAACTGGTAGGGCAGAGATTGAACGTAGCCGTCGAGGGGGTGGAAGGCGAGGGCAGCCCAAGGCGTAGGCACTGGATACAGTCAGTTGAGGCCATAGAAATGGGTGTTGGTCAATCAACCGGAAAAAGAAGGAATGAGATGGGGTGACATACCAATCCACTTGTGGTGTGGCTTGTGGATGTACTTGTAGACGGCGGGGTGGTGCTCGAGGCGGTGAATCCAGTAAATGGCAATATCGTTCCAGACCATGAAAATGGTAGCTGAAATGGCCATCCACCAGAGACCATACTCCTCAACATGGGTGTACAGCAGACTCTTTCCGCGAACCTCGGCGAGGAAAAATGGCAAAGTCAGGATGTTGATAACGGGGACGGCCTTCATGGAGGAGATCATCTCCTGGCGGATCTGGTTCTTGAGGAAGCGCGGGTGATATTCGAGGCGGCGGTCAAAGATGAGGTAATAAGACAGCGGACTGAAGATCCAGTAGAGGGCGCAGGCGCCCAGCTGGGTGATTGCGAGGATGGAGATGGTTTGACGGAGGATACTATCGCGGGGCCAGGCGGAGCCATACGAGTTCGAGAGGTCTAGTGGTGATGATGAGGCAAAGGCGTCGCCGGTCGCGTTGTATGCGCCGGTGTTGGCAGTGGTGGGCGCAGGGACGAAGTAGGCGTAGGCCTTGTCCAGGACCAATGGGTCGAGGAGCTCGAGCGCGACGTCCATGATGGGCCGGCTTTGTGTGTGGCGTGGTTGTTCGTTGTTTGTTGTCTCTGTTCGGCAACGAGTTGCGCAGGAGTGAGAAAGACGGAGAGACGCAGGTGGTGGGATGCGTGCGGAAGGTTGTTGGGATGGCAGCTATCGGTATGCCAGGTGATGGAGGGAAGAGAAGTGAACGTAAGAGGAGGCGAAGTGTAGATGGGAAGGAAAGGAATGGCAAAAGAGTCACGTCGCCGATAAAGGTGTTCCGATGAAGTTGCGCTCGCTCGCAGCTCGGTCGGTCGGTCTGGCGGTCCCTCTATTGCTGTTGCTGGCAGCGCTGTTGTTGCTTCGGCGTCTGCTTTCTGCTCAGGGGCAAAGGAAATAGCAGAAACATTTTTGGATCCGTTTATTTTCGCCCACATTGGCACATTGGAGCAAATTAGTCAACCACCGCCCACCCCTCCCACCAAAGAGCTCCTTCCATGGTGCGCGCTTGCGACCAGTAACATTGGGCGACAAGGGACGGGACGGGAAAGAGGGATGGCAAAAAAGTGCGACCACCTAGGTAGGTACCTGCCTGCACTGCTGCAGAGGTACAAAATACAACAAAATCAGCACATCAGGCAAGAGGGAGGAAGAAAAAAAAGAAGGGACCCGCCAGATGAAATGATGGCGCTAAGCTTCATCAGTTCATTTAAACGAGGTCGGGCTGATCATTTTGGCCACTCACAACAGCCTCTGCTCTGCATCTTCCCCTCTGGCGGGGTCTTCCCACCGGTACGTAGCTTCTCAGTCAAATACATGTACACTCCCGGCGCATTCTGGTGCCCTGGTGGTGGTGTCACTTTGGTAGTGGCCGCCGCACTACGCAGTGATGGACATTGGACACATCCATGACAACAGCATGGCAGGGTGCGCCAACGCCGTGCTTGTGCCATCTGATTTGCCAATCCCTTTCTCGAGTACACCGGATCTGTTCCTTCCCCTCCATTACCACCTGTGAGCTCTCCTCAATTGACAGCGCTGATTTGGCGCATTCAAGCAGATTGTTGAGCTGCACACAATATCAAGCAACCGCAACAATTTGCGACTTTCGGGCTACTCGGTGTCCGTGCGGCGCCCCGAAGACGGAGTTACGAAGTATCAAGGTGGGGCTGATATCGCCGGATTCCCAATGGGATTTCAAGGAGAAATGGAAAGCGGGGCGGATCTCTCGGGAACTCGTGCTGCCAGTCGAACCATTCTGCCACCATTCTTCCATGGCCATTCTCCATCTTCGCCACGGGTGAGCACGGGGAAGACATGTGGATGGCATATCCCAGCATTCGGGATGCGTTATCCTTTTCTGCCATCTGGATTTCCTGTCATCACACTTTTATCCGCGTGGCATATATGGTGTTGATGAGTGATACGCCTCTGGCGCGTCGATCTTGAATGCCGAACGTCTCTCCACTGGACCTTATGTTCATGCTTCTGGTGTTGCTAGAATACCGCATTCTCATGGCCCCTCTAGTGACAATGACAATAGTAATTGCTTTTCGGACGACTCAGACAGGGATCTCAAGCAAACACCAGTTTCGCCCATGCGACAGTCTGCAACGACTCGCTCGTTTGAGAATGAAACGACACTGATCAGAGCGAAAGAATCTCCCGTTGGCAAGCTCTCAATAGCGACCCAATTGCTTACAGCTCCTTGATAGCTCGGTGATGATGGTTCTTAGCGCGCTTTTCGTATTCGGATCGCCCAAGAGCTTGGGCGCTCCACACGATCGACATTTTAACTCTAGCGCCTCACGGAGTGTGGCTGCAGAACAGGCTGAACAGCTGCCCAATCACGTTAGACAATGAGTCAAAGCTGTGGTAGAATATCTATCCCAAGTCTAGAACGTTGGATGGTAGTTGTCAAAGGCTCTGGCAGAAACTCTACTATCAACTTTCCATCAAAAGACTACCTATGCAGGCACGTGGAAATTCGTGTAAGGTACCTAGGATTAGGCCAACAATTGATGGTGCGATCAGTGAGGTGCAGTATCACCGCGATAACGTTGCTTATGTAATTGCCATGAACATGCGAGGAAGGAGCCATCGCAGTACTTGCAACCCCCCGTCGCTGCTGCACTGTTGCCTAAAGCCTTATGGGAAGCTCATTCGAGATGAACAACTTCCCTTCTCCGCAAATCTCGTCCCAATTCACTTCATCTTCTCAGACCTCTCCCCCATCGACCTCCGTCTCCCTCTCTGCCCGCCTCCAACAACGGCGCGGAACCCGGCCTCGCAGCGCCAAGATCGGACGTGGGGACCGTCTTCGGACGTTCGTTCCCAAGCCAATTGCATAACACGACCCGCGTTACTCCCACTTGTTCCTGGCGTCGATAAGGGGATACCTAGACAAACGACGTCTCCCACCAGAGCGGTTCGCCGCCGTCGGCCCCGGTTGGTTCGCACCCATCCATCCACGCAAATCCAGTATCCGCAAGTCAGCCGAGCCGCGCGATGCCAAATACAGGCAGGCCGAGTCCAAACTGCCACTTGTGCCGGAGCCGAAGGGTCAAGGTGAGAGAATGAGACATCTAGACGCACAATTTCCGTATGAGTACTCAACGAAATCCGAATCATAACGGCTCCCTCCCGCCCTCCCGCTCCCGCTCGCAAGTGCGTAGCGTCGTCGCGTGTTGTACCTACTCTGTGCCTTTGGTTCACTGATGGATACATGTACCTACCTATCGTACCTACTTTGCCTTATACGTGTGAACAATCATCCCAAGTCTCCATCGCCTTGCAGCTGACAACTGGGGGGTCCGGCCGCGCGCGCCGTGCCCGCGGCATGCAAAAAGTGCGATTTAGGCCGACCTCAGTGCGAAAGATGCATCAAGTACGGGGTCCAGTGCCCCGGCTACCGCGACGATGATGGAATGCGCTTTCAGAACGCCGATCCCACCTCGTTTGAGCGACGGAAGAAGAAGAGGAACCACCAGCACCAAGACCAGGACGATGAGGCGGCGTTGATAACCAACTCAAGGACCGGGACCCTACAGATCATAGAATTCACACCTGAATTATCGACAGCGGCATCGATCTCAACCTCGGCGTCCCCTGGGTCGAGCCGCCAACCGAGCCGGCAGTCCACACCTGCCACGAGCGTCACCACTGACACCACTACCTCGACGCAGCTATCCGTAGCACTTCCCGTGCTCAAGACTATCCGTCAACACTGGACTGCCGAATCCATCCCGCTGGTCCTGGGATTCTACGAGAGCCTGGACTTTCTTCCAGGCTTGTTCAGGGGTGCCGGCCAAAACCACTGCCTCGTGCTCACCGGCCAGGTCTTTACCAGGGCCTACATGATTAACAAGTTCCGTCCCAGGGCCGACTATCACGAGCTGTCCATCGTTCTCGGCCATGCTTTGGCCGCGGTACAGGAGGCTATCAGAAACCCGAAGACGTATACTTCTGATTCAACGATCGTTGCGGTTTGGTTGCTTGGGAACTATGAGGTGAGTGAAGAGGCTTATAACATGCTATTCGCATGACACTCAGCCCAAACCTCGGTGTGCAATGTGCTGGGCTGTTGCTGTATTGCTTTTGGCGACCAGGGGACTGAAACAAAATTCTGGCAGCTGATGATTGGCGGGTTGGAACGGAGATCGTTCATTACCAATAAAGAAAGGGGTTCGTCGCCCGAAGTTCCCTGGCACATCCACGGCCAGGGCCTCCTCAGCCTCATGCGGGCAAGGGGGGACCGGCAGCTCTACACCCGGTCCGGCCGTCAAATCTTCTGGGTCATGCACAATATGATTGTAAGCAGGACACTCCAGACCTATCTGCTCTGGTTTACTAAACCCGTATGTTAGCAAGTCCAACTCACGATTGCAAACACACCTTGTCCCCCGGACTTTGAACGCTGGCTCGACATCATCGAAGCAACCCTCCAACCCAGCGAAGGCCTCCTTCTTCACACTGCCCGCTACCTCTCTGCAGCATGCTCTCTTCTATCAAAACTGATCCCGCTAACACTCAGCGGCGATGCCTCTCGCGCCCGGGCAGCATACCCGGCCCTCATTGCTGAGAGCGACCGGGCAGACCTCGCCATGGCGGAGTGGATGCACGCGGCGCCCGAGTTCCAATTCGAACCGGGGCCGATGTGGGGCTACTTCTGGAACTCGTGGCGGAGCGCAAGGATCAAGGTGCACCACATGATCATTCTTATTTCGAATCTCGTCGAGTATGGTGAGCCGTCGCTGGTCCCGGAAGATTACGACGTAGACTGTGGTGGGTGTCCGTTGTTGAACCCGGAAGTCCTTCACGCCCGCCGGGAATTCTGCGTGGGCATCATCGCGACGGCCGGTCGGGATGTCGTGGAGGGGATACCGAGGTCGTTGGGCGGGAAAATGCCGGACCTAGACCCGGATTTGCCCTCGTCGTATTTCGATGGCGTGAGGTTGATTTGGCCGCTGAGCCACCTGTACATTCTCCCCACGGCGCCGCGGCACCTGCGAATCGTGGCAAGGGATGCGTTGTTGAGAATCGCCAAGGAGAAGGGGATCTTGACGGCGTTGAAGCCGAGGGCGGGCGGGATGCTGTTCCCGGAGGCGGCGTTGAGGGGCATCCCGGTGGATAATCTGGAGGATGTTATTGAGGGCGGCGGAGGGGTGCATCAGATTGCGACCAAAGTTGAGGCGCAGGACTGATGATACTCTACAAACAAGGGCGAATGGGAGTGAGCTCCGAAGCTTGGAGCGCGTATGTTGACTTCTATGAGATTTCCGAACTGTAAAGTCGGGGTTTAGTAACTTCCGTCATCTGGGAACGGAGCCGACATTTCGCTGTTTTCTTGTTGTGGGTTCTACGGACATAATCATCTAGTTGTACCCGCCGTCGGCTTGTTCGCTCGGGGTATTCGCCGGTCGGTGCTAAACTCAATTCGCCGATGAACATGACATCAATACTCACCCAAGTATACAGCCCTGCCCGCCAACGTGAAAAGTGGTGTTCGTGCGCCTACCTAGTTCTTTCAGCTTAACTTGGTGGGCTCTGGAGGCTGCTTACGCTCGCATAGCTTGCTGCTCCCCCTATGGCCGATCATTGACGATCGCACCTCTGCCTTTTACCCACTTTGCAGTCTGATTACCCCTAGGCATAGACTTTCGTGGGATCGCATGTAAATTTGATCTTCCTTCATGAGAACCCTCCCAGCGAGGGGAAGTTTCCTCAGAGAAGACCATTGAAAAGCGGACGCCGTGTTGAATCCGTTAGAGGGATTCAAGAGACCCCTCAATATGTTCAAAGCATAAGACTAGGCACCAACGACCCGCATCATTGATCATTGATCATGGATCCCAACATTCCTACCCCGGCTCACTGGCTCAGGGAACGAGAAGCTTGTTTCGACGTGTTAGCGCCAGATTTGCGCTGCTGCTGCCTGCGCCGTTGAAAGCGGGAGGTCTGTCGACGGTGTAGAGTTACTGGTGCAAAAGAGAGAGTTTGATCAGTTTGCGGTAGAGTACTGCAAGGCGTAAGCAGAGCCCGGCACTTCTGAGCCGAGTAAGCCTGCCTCATGCCGGAAGAGGAAAACCATTCGACCCCAATTTTCTGCTTGATCTGGGTCCTAAGAGCGTCCTCGAACTTTGAGGTATTTGCGCGGTGATGAGCGGTCGCTGGTGAGACGTGGTGGTAGGATTCTGGCCGTGTGCCGATTATCCGAGTCGCGAGATAGGGCGCGACACGAAAGTAGGGTATCCTGAGACCATTCCCGAATAGTAGCATTTCTTGAGGTTATGGGGCCGCAGAGTCAAGAGTCAAGACTCTGGTGGCTCAGCCACGGGATTGAAGCGCCCTGTGGATTTACATCAATCTGTATGACATGTCTATGTACTCCGTACTACGAAACTAAAGGACAATACCAGCAATGAGCTTCTATACAGAAACGGAAAAGATCTTTCCCCGTAGAGGTGATGAGTAAGATGCATCGTTAATCGATAAGAGGCCTACCTGCTCCCGCGGGCTTAGATTGCGTCTAGATAAGGTACGGCGCTACAACCCCTCAACCACCCCGGGGCGCCGCTGATGCGCTTCGACAGCTTATTGGATACCGCAGCGACCGTTGGCTTTGGAGGAAGGCGGAGTTGTGGTTAGCGGAGGATTTTCCAGCGAATGTAAGTAAGCGAATGCGATGGATGGGGACGCCGATGCAACGGACGCGCAGGCTGGCGGATGGGGCCCGAAGGCTTGTTTTCTGACTTACAGCTAGCTGCCTATTGAATATGGGGCCGGGGGAAGTATGGGAGGACTCCCTCGCGTGTAAGGTAGTTTTGGAAATGATATAACTACCGGGCTTGGGAGCTCTAGATATCTGGAGTATTCGAACCATCATCAACCTACTTCACTCTAGAATACGACTAGCCTGACATACCTGGTCCTTTAGTCTTACTATGCTTGTTTACGAAGCTCTTATCCAGGCCCGCGGCCTTCTTCGCGACAATGACAGCAGCTCTAATAGCACCAAGGATACCTGCCCACACATCTCCCTCGCCGAAGGTCAGCACATTCACTCTCACCTAGTCTGTCATTACCCAAGCTTCTTTTACTAACACCAATTCAAGATGCATCTCAACCCCTCTTTGGCACCATGTCCTTCTACACATTCAACATGATCCTTTCTGGTAGCTTCGCTGCCGCATCCTGCCTCATCATCTTCACCCTCATGATCCTCCACGCGACGCATCTCAGCAAGAGCAACGAGCAAATCAAGTGCGTTCCCCTCCATCATCCATAAAAATTACGAACCCAGACACGGTAGAGCTAACAGCAGAAAACAGAATCCTCAGAATCTCCCTCATCATCCCCTTCTGGTCCATCATCTCTTTTCTGTCAATCTGCTTCCCCACGGCCGAGGTCTACCTCCACCCCTGGCTCGAGTTCGTCCAGTCCATCTGCCTGGCCACTTTCTTCCTCCTCCTGTGCGAGTTCGTCTCGCCTAGCGAGCAGCACAGGGATGTCTTCTTCGCCGGCATGACTGTGAAGAATAAGAAGGCTGCCAATGGGGAGGAGAATGGTCTCGAGTGGTATAGGGTTAGTCTACTGCATCTCGTCAAGCACCGTGGAGGGATACATCTAACATCCCATCGCAGAAAATGTGGTTCGCCGTCTTCCAATATCCAGTCGTCGCCCTCCTCGTCGCCATCTTGACCGCCATCACCCAAGCTGCTGGAGTCTACTGTGAGTTCGAAAGCAAAGTACATTTCGCTAGACTATGGGTGAGTCAAACCTTCAGTCCCCGCCTATAACTCATCTGACAATTTCCCCAAAGCTGCAAATCATCGGCACCGCCTCCCTCACCATCGCCCTCATGACCGTCATCCGCTTCTTCATGCAACTCCGAAAAAAGCTCTCCCACCACCAACCCCTCGCCAAATTCTTCGCCTTCAAGCTCGTCGTCACCCTCACCTTTCTCGAAAACATCATCTTCTGGATCCTCAAGGACACGGGCGCCCTCAACCCGACATCCACCCTCACCGACGCCGATCTGCGCATCGGTATCCCTTCCATGCTCATCTGCATCGAGATGCTGCCGCTGGCTGCGTTCTTCCACTACGCGTACTCGCACCGGCCCTATGTCATTGGCGGCGGGAACACGCGCCGGCCGTTGGCGGGGGATTTGGAGGCGTATGAGCCGCAGACGTACTCTGGTGGGCCCGGGGGCGTGTGGGCGTTGGTGGAGATGTGGAATCCGATGGAGATTGTGGAGGCGATTGTGTTTGGGTTGAAGATGAAGGCGGAGGAGAGGAAGCAGTCTAGGGCTAGGGGGCGCGAGTGGCAGTCGACTAAGTATCAGTCGGTCGAGGAGCCGTATGAGATGGGCAGGAGATGAGGGAGGTGATGGAGCGAGTTTGATGAGCGTTGATTTTGATTTGAAGCATAGATTGATCATTTCATAGCACATAGATTTTCCCTGGCAGCTGTATATACCCATGTTTAGAAGTTGACTCGCTTACATGTATTCTTTACTTGTCCACAGTAACAAATGTGAAGTGAACCTGGCTGGTACCTTAATTTACTTTACACCATATGGCGATCCAAGTTGTGTAACTGAGAATAATAACTTGGCCTAGAATACAAACATTCTTATACGGAAGTCGATTGGAGTTTTTCAATGAACGGCCAATGCAATTCGACTGTTGTACAGTAGCTCGTACTACTACATAGGCAAACATATATACTTTGAATACTATGTCTAAAGGGCATTGACCTTGGCGGCATGCTCATAAACAAGCGGCTGGGCCTCGGCATCATCCAGGTAGATGGTGAACCCATCATTATGGTTGCGACCATACGAGTAGTTGGAGAAGCCGTACTGCCAGTACATATCCGGCATCTCCTCCTCCAGCGAAATCGCTTGCCACTTGCCCAGCACCTCTGTCCTCGGCGTGTCGTCCACCTTGCCAAGGTACTCAAGCCTCTTATCAGCCGTCAACCATCCATACTCCTCATGCACAACCGGCTTTCCAACCTTCTTTCCAGACGCCGCGTGATCCCGGATCCACTGCTCCGTCCACTCGACCGTCTTGCTCCACCAGTCAGGGTAGGAGTGGAACGTGCCAAAGTCGATATTCGGCAGCGCGAGCTCGTGGTCAAAGTCGCTCCCGTCGGCGCCGTTGTACGCCCAGTCGTCTGATTCGATGTTGAAGCCGCCCTCGCCGCCCCAGGTTACGAGGTGCTTGTTGTCGAGGGACTTGACGTAGGCGCTCATTTCGGTGATCCAGGCGCCGAGGCGCTCGGGCGTGCAGTCGTCGCTTCGGGGGAGGTTACGGGTGCCGTCTGCGCCGCAGCGGGGTTCGTTGGCGAGTTCCCAGGCCATGATGGCTGGTGAGTCCTTGTAGCGGGTGACCATTTCTTTTACGTAGCGCTTGAAGGCGTCCTTGATCGCGGGGACGTGGTAGAACTAGGTCCGCATTTGGGTTAGCATTCGGGTACCGCAGAGTTCTGTTGTTTGTGGAAGAAAGTTGGGGGCTACTCACGTCGTCGTGGAACTTTCCACCCAAGTTAACCGTGTAGACGTCCATGCCGCCGTAATCGGCCCAGTTGTTGGTGAGCGCGACAATCAGCTTGATGCCGACCTTGTCCGCTGCGTTGACGACCTTGTCAAAGGCCTCAATGTTGATGATGGAAGTGCCGTTCTCCCATCTCTGGAAGACGATATCTGTGTCGCCAGCACCCTCGCCGCCATACTGGGGTAGACCACCAGCATTGTAGGTGACGTTCTTGTCGTTGAAGCCCCATGTGCGGAAGACCTTCAATCCGGCGTCCTTGGCTGCCGTCAAGCCGGCCTCGACATCGGCTTGGTTCTAGAAAACTTGGTCAGTTTCATCACATCTTGCTAAAGTCAATCAATTGGGCTGCTCTTTGCAGGTCACATACGTTGTCGAAGGGGAAGTAGTAGGCATTGCTACCCGCAAAGTTGAAGTCTTCGCCATCGAGCTGGAACTTTGTGCCCTTGACCGTGACGAAGCCCTTCCTGATGCAAGCCGCGGACGCGGCTCCGCTGGCCAAAAGGCCAATGGAGAGCAGACCGGAGAGTTGAGGTAGCATTGTTGGATCAATTGACGGGAAGACCTGCAACCAATTCCAGATAATCCTCTCGCCAGACACGCGAAAAGCCCGACAAGGCGGAGACACATGTTCGCGGCTACGT